CAGGTTTCTCAAGAGACATGTGAGGTGGTCTGGTACTCCCATCTCTTTAAGGACCTGCCATAGTTTGTTGTGATCCACACAGTCAAAAGCTTTAGTATAGTCAGTGAAGCAGAAGTAGATGTTTTTCTGGTACTCTCTTGCTTTCTCCATAATCCAGCAAATGTTCTTTGAATGGTCTTGCTTCTTTGGTGGAATCTAAACAGGCAAAAGGCAAATATGACAGTATTTGGGGGTGGATGCCAAAGTGGTTGCAAATTGGAAATGTGGAATGCGTTCATTTCAAAGTGAAATTTCTTATTTGCCATAGCTCCACCATGAAACTGGGTATACCTTTGACTAGTATATTCTCCACAGAATATTCTCCACAGTACTAGTATATTCTCCACAGCAAAATTCTTACCAATAGAATAATCATCTTGATTTTACTGATTTTAGATTTTTCAGGCTGTATAATGGCAGAATGTTGGCTTAACTATACAGTTGCTCCTGATGTAATTCTCACACTCTGTAAGGCAATCTCCATGCAACTAGGAGGAGGTCCAGGGGAGTTATGCAGACTGTAACGTGTTTATGCTCTTCTTTGAGACCCCCTTACATGTAACCTCTGTCGTGTTCTGAGGTGAGGTGTGTTCTGCTGCCTCCCGGCCTGCCTTATTTTTGCTGCCACCCACGGCTGCCTCGCCTGAGGCTTCTTAGCTGGACCTGAAGAAGAGGGTGGCCTTGTTTCAGAGGGTGGGACGACAGAGCAGTCGGGGGGGGGGCAGAAGGAACTGTTTTATTTAGATAGATTCAGGTGGGTTGCTGTGGTGGTCTGAAGCAGCAAAATGAAGTGTGAGTCCAGGGGCACCTTTAAGACCAACAAAGTTTTATTCAAGGTATAAGCTGTGCATGAAAGCTTATACCCAGAATTAAACTTTGTCCATTTTAAAGGTGCCACTGGACTCAAACTCTGGCTTTTTCTGCATCCGTATTTTGCCTCAGTTTCTGAGCGCATCCTGTTCTTCTGCATTCCCTCCTGCTTTCACTTCTGGTTTGTGTGGGGGCTTTTTGTTGTTCCTGCATTTGTTTTACAGGAATTTGCATTCAGACCGCTTCCAGCACACTGTTGCCCCGCAGCTACCAAAACTCCTTTTGCTGTGATTCTTTGTTCTCACCTGCTTTTGAATCACTAATCCTTTCTAAAGTAGAATTGTTTCTGTGGGTATTTAAGGGCTGCCCACTGCCCTCCCCCATTTCCAAGTCTTTCTCTCTTTAGGTTGACACTCCCTCCCCATTCTGTTTTCTTTCCCTCCTTCGCCAAAGACACTCCCCCACTCAGGCAAACTTTTAAAAAGCCAGAAAGCGCATAGGAAGGAATCAGTAAATATAAAGGACTAGGGGATTCCCTGCTCCCAAATGTGTCAGTTTTGCATGTGTGGGCCTGGATTTCCCCCCTCCCTTCCCTTTTTGCAGAATCAGGGAGGGGAGGGGTTGGATCTGCAGTTAAAAGTTTTGAAAGATGTTTTCCTTTCTCTTCATCTTAGACAAAGCAGCCAGTTAGCTAAAGAAATGCAGGTTTTCCTTGTAGATGCAGAAGAGGAAGAAGAACAGATTGGATTTATACCCCGCCCTTCACTTGGAGTCTCAGAGCAGCTTACATTCCCTTCCCCTCCCCACAAAAGACACCCTGTGAGGTAGGTGGGGCTGAGAGAACTCTGACACAAACTGCTCTTTTTCAAGGACAGCTGTGCCAGAGCTTGTGACTGACCCAAGGTCACATCAGCAGGTGCAAGTGGAGGAGTGGGGAATCAAACCCAGTTCTCCCAGATTAGAGTCCGCACACTTAACCACTACACCAAACTGGCTCCCAGTTTGCATACAGAATATAAACAAATCGGGGGGGGGGGTTGCAGAGGGAATGCGTGTGACCCTTAAGGCTTGATTCCTCAGATTATCTGGAGGTATTGTCAGCTATGCTGCCACGGGGGTTGGGGAGTTCATTCTGTGTCTTGTTAATGGCTATTGCATTCCTATCCCTGCTGTTATGCCTTTGCTGAAACACTTATCTCTACAGATGTGCAGGAGGAGGTTGTGTTGTCTGGAGAGCTCCTATGTACCGTGAGAGACTCCGAGTTCTCAGCTTTAGCCACCTAACGGTTGCCTGACTTATCCCACACGCGGGAGGGTGCCTAATTGGCCAATGCCGGGGGGGGGGCATACGAATACCCTATATCCTATTATGCTCAATGGGTTGCCGCCATTCTTAACAGTGCCTGTGTTACTGCATCTATAGCTTTGCAATAAAAGTATAACCGTTCCTGAATGCGTGTACTTCGTTGTTAGCTGTGGGTTCTGACAGGTATGCATCGCCTGGCAGAAGCGCGTAGAAGATTGTCGCTGGAGACCTCGCTATTTGAGACAGCTGGCTGTCGAATTGGGATTATTGTTCCTATCTTGGGTGATTTATATAGAGGATGACATCAGAGCACCTTAAATATTGTATGGGTTTTATTGTGGTTGTTCAATGTTGTTTTATTGTATTTTATCTATTTAATCTGGCACTAGCCGTATGTTAGCCGCCCTGAGCCGTTTGGAAGGGCGGGATATAAATCTAAAAATAAATAAATAAAATAATAAATAACATAAAGCTTCACATTAAAATCTAGAACTAAAATACACCAAAATATTTACATAGTGAAAACATCACACAGAGACCTTCAGATGAATGCATGTAGTGCAGAGACATGGCCTGATTCCTCCCCCCCCCGCCCCCCCCCGGGGCATTCAGCCTACAGGCCTGAAAGGGGTCCCCGTGCCATTCAGATTGCTGCAGAAAGTTACAGCTGAATATTTTACCAGTTTTCCCTGCGATTTGAATAATTCATTCATGGCAGACACACAACTTAAGTACTGCACTTTTGCATCCCTCTTCTCTCTTTAGCCACCAATTGGCACATAAGCAGTGTGATTTATAATTTATTTTGAAAGCTTTTTTACAAGACCCAAGAGGGGAAATCCTGTTTTCATCCAGCAGATCAAGTAGTCTTAGCAAACAAAAACCATCATGATTTTTAAAAAGTGCCCAAAGTCAGGAGTCTGGTTCGCTTGATGGGTACAAACCCTGCTTTACTGATTTAGTGATTTCACTTCATACACCAAAGAACTTGTACAATGCAGCTAATAAGACTTGTTCTCCTCTGAACCATGGGATATTTCCCATTGTAGGACGCTTGCCCAGTTATTTCTCCAAAATTGCGCAGAATTTTTACACTGGCCAGGTTTAATGTTTTACCCTCAGCAATTTTATTCGGAAGATTCCAGGGTATCCCCTTTGCTAATAGACTCTGCCCCTGTACAGGTCAAACTATTGAAACAGTGTACCACATCCTGTGTGAATGTCGTTATTATTCTGGTATCAGGCAACGTATTTTATCACCAGTCTTGGGTAGTGTTTCAGACTTTCCTAGACCGAATAAACTATTATTTCTTTTAAATAGCACAGACGAAAACATAGTTGAACTTGTGGCAAAGTTTTTACTGGCTGCTGCTTCTATACGTAGTAAAATTCTGTAAGTCTTCAACGCAGGGTATCTTTTAACAGAAATTGTATTTTATGTAGAAACTGAATTTTATTTCCCAGATACTATGTTTTTATTTCTGTGAAATGCCAATAAAGGAGTTGCTGTGTGTGTGTGGAATTAGATTCAGGTGGGCAGCTGTGTTGGTCTGAAGCAAGAGAACAAGGTCTGAGTCCAGACTGGGCACCTTTAAGACCAACACAGCTTCATTCTGGGGATACATGAAAGCTTCTACCCAGAATGAAACTTCGTTGGTCTCAAAAGTGCCTCTGGACTCACACCTTATATGAAATGCTAGTCAGAGGGTCTAAGGATTCCTACACGAGCCTATGCAGCACAGTTTCTCCAAGCACTTGTTCGTTTATTTAGTAATTTATATTATTTATAGTTCATCCTTCTCACTGAGACTCAAGGCAGAATACGTCATATAAGTCAGTGCAACCAGTAGGAGGAGGATACGTCTAACGAACAATGTAACAGGACTAGGATTTCAGAAATCTGAAACCAGAGCTGCGGTCACACACACTAAATAATGCACTTTCAGCGCACTTTCCAACGGGATTTTGCCAGTTCACACAGTAAAATCCAGTTGAAAAGTGGATTGAAAGTGGATTATTTAGTGTGTGTGACTGCGGCCCAGGTGTATTAAACATGACATGTTAATGCAAGAGATTACATATGTTAAGGATAAATATAATGCAGTGAGAGCAACATACAGCAACAGATCAAACTAGGGTTGCCAGCTCTATCGAAATGTGTTCTGGAGTTCATTCTGGTGTAATGCAGCCCTTATAAAAATGCCCTTCTGAACAATCCTGTTTTACACAGTTTGCAGGAAGCCCAAAGCGGGGGGAGTCTTCCTCCTGACCTCTTCCACAGGCCGGCAGGCAGGCAGGCCAGCCACTGCATGGGATGGTGGTGGCCTCTACAGGGAATGCAAGGGTCGTTGACCTTACCTGTTGGGAGGGTGACACTTGCACTAAGCTGCCCTTGCATTCTTGGGGATGACATGTAGCGATATGCAATTCCGCCAGAGCTGTCCATTTGGTTTGTAATGGCGCATTCTGGCATGCAAGCCATCCCTTGACGCTGCAGACATCCAGGGATGATTGTGCCTGTGCAGACTAGGTGTGTTATAAAGGGCACCAGGCTAGTGGCCGTGCAAAGTCCCCTCTGTCTTAGGTAACATGCAAAATACTTACAAACATTTGATTAAATATATGACTGAGTTCAGAGGGGCTGCGCACACACACACACACACACGCCCTGCCTGAAGGTGATGAACAAGTCCTTAAAACGTGATGGCCAGTATGCTCGGCTGTTTTTTTTTCTTTTGATAATTTGGTCAGAATGTTCCATTTGGTACAAGTAAACAGAACGTGTCACCCTAATGATTGCTTGCCTTTGCCGTTCACTAACAGTTTTTATTACTCCCCTTTTTAGATGTGGGTTTTTCCACGGCTGCCTCTTTCCCCCCCACCCGTCCCCTGCGGAGCCCGTGGCTGCCATCCGAGACAGCTGTGCTGCTCCGTATAAGTGGGCCCAGGGCTGCCACGGGGATCCTTATGGCTGTGAACGGAGACCTTTCGCCATTTTTGGCTGCCAGGCTTCTGAGGGACACTCCTTGCTGTTAGGATTCGATGTTCCTGTCTAGGCCTTTTTGAAGAGAAGCTGAAAGGTCCACGAATTGATCTTCGGCATATTTTTAACTGTGAAGTAGGGCCCCAGGTCAGTCAGTGCCACGAGAGGGGATTAACTCCCCCCTTCCCCCTATTTTCCTGACCTCAAATGGCTCCCTGGAGCTGCAGTTTTCCTTATTGGGGGAAATATACAGACAACTGCTGCCAGCTTCTAAACTCTGCATTCGTTCATTCATTCATTGAGAAAATGTCTATCCTGCTAGGGTTGTCAGCCTCCAAGTGAGGCCTGGAATTACAACTGAACTTCAGACTACACAGAGACCAGCTCCCCCCTGGAGGAAATGGCTGCCTTGGAGGGTGGGCTCTGTGGCCTTATATACCCTGCTGAGGTCCCTCCCCAGGCTCCCCCTCCCAAAATCTCCAGCTGTCTCCCAACTTGCACTTGGCAACCCTAATTCTTGACCCTCCAAAGAACCTGCTCCAGGCAGCTTACAAAATAAAACACACAACGCAATACCAGCTGTTGATAAGTTACAAATCTGAACACAGCACAAGAGGTATAAAGCACAGAATAGCTTAAAATGAATCTCATGAAACAGTTTCATTTTAAGCTATTCTGTGCTTTATACCTCTTGTGCTGTGTTCAGATTTGTAACTTATCAACAGCTGGTATTGCGTTGTGTGTCTTATTTTGTAATCTCATGAAACAGTTCTCAGGCTAGATGCATTTTAATGCATTTAAAAATTTTTTACTGTAAGCCGCCCTGAGCCTGTCTTGGCAGGGAGGGCGGGATACAAATCGAATTAAATAAATAAATATACAACATTAAAGGATCAACCCCTTAATTAAGTCTGGTGCCTAAAAGAGAGTAAGGTGGTCTGTGACAGGCGGGCACCAGGCAAACCTCAAAGAGGAGGGCTTTCCAGAGGCAAGGGGCCACCACTGAAAAAGCCCCGGGCACAGAGAGCAGGACTTAGGAAGGAGGTCTTGACTGGCGAGCTGGACAGTGTGGGAGGAGGCAGAGAGTCTCAAGGGCCAAGCCATTTAGGCCTCAGAAGTCTGAAACACTACTTGGAACTGTGTCCAGAAACAATGGGCAGCGAGTTTAGATCTTTCGGCACTTGGGAATTACAGCCCCTGTATCCAGCCCCCGATAGTACCCAGGTGGCCCCATACTGGACTGGCAGAAATGTCCCGAGGACTCTGCTGTCTCCGAGGTCGGGCCTGGAGATCTCCTGGAGTTACAACTGACCTGCAGTCTACCGAGACCGGATCTCCTGGAAGAAAGGACAGATCCAGAGGGTGGACTCTGCGGCGTCACACCCCCACGGAGGTCCTTCCCCGGCTTCACCTCCGAATCTCTAGGAATTTCCCAGCTCGGGGTTAGCAGCCCTCAGCTTCTCCTCCTCGTTTTGGTAACCAGTCCTGAGTAAGGAGGCCAGGGTCTTGGGGGCTATGGAATCTTCCCTCCCAAGGCTCTTGGTCTCTGCTGGCACGTGAATGCTTGTCCCGTGAATTAAACTCTGTTGGTTTTCAAGGTGCCCCTGCTGGACTCAGACCTTGTTCTGCCGCTTCAGACGAGCCTGGCGACCCCACCTGGATCTGTTAGGGAATAAGAGAGACATTTATTCCCTTCTTTGCATGGCAACTTTAAACTTGTACGAATGCTTGGGGGAGGGAGGAACACCTTTTAACTTTTTCTGTTCTGAATAGGATCTTTTAATGAAATATTTTCAGACTTTGATAGGTTCTTTATACACCTCAGACTTGGTGGCTGATCCAGGCAACCCCTCCCCCCCCGCAATTAAAGGGGCTTTGCCGGGGGGGGATTTGAGGAGCGGGGGGGTACCCTTGGCCCTTCTTGAGACGAACCTCAAAAGCAGCTTGCCAAATCTCCATCTGGCCAGTGGTTAAATGGAGCAGGTGGGAAGGGAGCAGAAAGGGGGTGAGTGGGAGGGAGGGGCGTGGCAGGCGTGGCAGGTGATCTTCCCGCTCCAGGGCACCCCTGCATCCACAGCAACAACATTTTTCACAGATCAGTTCTCCTGGAGAAAATGAAGGGGGCTGCTATGGCATCCTATCCTGCTAGGATCCCTCCTGTTTCAAACCGTGCCCTCATAAGAACATCAGAGAGGCCATGCTGGATCAGGCCAACGGCCCCTCCAGTCCAACACTCTGTATGTCACACAGTGGCCAAAACCCAGGGGCTGTCAGGAGGTCCACCAGCAGGGCCAGAACTCCGGAAGCCCCCCTTAGGCTCTACCCCAGAGCTCCAAGTATTTCACCCTGGAGCTGGCAATTCTGCGCCTAAGGACCCCTCCCCAAATCTTTAGCAATTTCCCAACCCAAAGTTGGTGACCTACTTTGGATATTGACTATACGTAGGAGTGATGCATCCCCACTGCTTTCTAATTGGCTAGAAAACATTTGACAGCCCCCTCTTCAGCTGTCACTCCACAGGTATATAAATGAATAATATTAATAACTGATAGGACGTCAGCAAAGGAGGGGGTGACCCACAAATGTTTCCATCAGATGCAAAGTGTGCCCCTATTTAGTGATGGGGTTACTGCAAAAAAAATAAATGTTTGCACCCCCTTCCCTAATCAATGTGCAAGTATTTATCCAAGGGAAAGGGAGGAAAGATCTCCTCTAACTTGGTACAATCCGTGAAAAGAAGCAATTTAAATTAGTTAACCTGCAGTGTGATGAACCCTCCTTTTGGGTTTGCAACAAAGACAAGGCGATCCTGATTTCTTAGGATCATATATGTGACCCTTCCAGAAAGCACGGCCTCATTCTAGGGCTGCCAGCTCTGGATTGGGAGATTTCTGGAGATTTGGGGAGCCATTTCAGCACCTCCAAAAGCACAATTCCACACACACCCCAGTGTTCATGAGTGGAACACACATTTGGTGTAGTCAAGTATTTCACCATTGCAGACAATGGCTCCTTCATTCACAATAATTAGACTCAGCTATTTATGGCTTGATTATTTGTTAACTGTGAAAGAAATCAGTAAATTTAACACACTGAACTGCCCCCATGATCCAGCATGGTGCTCTTGCTGCATATCTACCACTCGTCTGGATTGCCCCTTTGAGTCGAAAACAGAAAAGCCCACAGATGACATTATGAACTCTAAACTCTTACCTTTGTTGCTTCTGTTTTTACTGGCGTTGATTTGACCCAAACACCCAGATATCTTTATATGCTAAAACACTGAATGTAATAATTTTTTTTAAAAATCCTGCATGAAATCCTGGTTTTTCCATCGATAATTTTGCTTTTTTTTTTCATCATAGGAAATTAAAATGCATGACCGACAGCGAAACTCTTGCACCAGATTGGCCTTATTTTAAAACCATTGACAGAATATTGTCCAAAGTGTCTGAGCACAATGATGTGAAAATGCATGACAGTCAGCAGCCAGGCCCATCAACCTCCCAGACAGAAGCCTCGCAGTCCCCCTCGGCCAAGTCCACACCTCTCTACTTGCCATATAACCAATTCACCTACGAAGGGAGAGAAGAATTTTTCGAAGACGACCATTCCGAGAGCTCTTCTAGCTTGCTCTCTTATAAGTTAAGGTAACACATTTTACTTTGAGGTTTCATGTTGTGGGCCAAGTGCGGGATGCAGTATGAAGCCATGGTATGTAGGCCTTTTAATTGCTATGAAGGCCTCTTTCTGTTTTATGTGCATCCTTTGTCAGCAGAATCAGCAGAGTGATCAGAGTATTTACTATGAAAAATTTGAGCCAGTCCTGTCATTTACCTACCATTAGAGCAGGATCCCAAGAACTGTGAAACTGGTTCCATCACGAGGACTTAGAACAAAGTTTGAGTCCAGTGGCACCTTTAAGCCCAACAAAGTTTAATTCTGGATATAACTGTTTGTGACACCGGGTACAAGTGTCAGAGACACAAAGAAGTGTGCTTGCACACAAAAGCTTATATCCAGAATTAAACGTTGTTGGGCTTAAAGGTGCCACTAGACTCAAACTTGGTTCTATTGCTTCAGACCAACATGGCGACCCACCTGAATATCTTCATGAGGACTTGTTATTCTCAGGTGGCAGACCTGCATTGCAAAGCAGTCAGCTTTTGAAACCGAAGGAAATGTTAAAAGCCAGTTGTGATGTGACGGAGAGATGTCAGCCCGCATGCGCAGCCACCAGAATTGCCTCTGTAGGAGGTGTTGAGTTTTTTAACATCCATAATGTCCAGCCAGTTTATTGTCATGGCCCAGTTTTAAAATTTCCCCTCTCAGGGAACGAGGCACAAACAGCCTGTGTTGGCGATACCAGCACCTGTTGCCCCCCCTTGTGGGAGGGTGCCCTCCTTTTCCACTTCCTCCTTGTTGGCTTCAGTAAAGGCCGCCTTGAATTTTTCCACCCAAAGCTCAGGACTAAGCCCTCCCCTCCTTTGCCTGACTACGTGTAAGCACCCCCCGCCCCCGTTGGGTGGGTGTGAACACAGAATCAATTACTTCTTCCCTCTGACTGGCATGTTGGGGGCAATGTTCCCTCTAAGCTGTGGAGTCTTGTGAGCAAAAATTCGACTTTGTGAGCCACTAGAATTAAAGTTGTGAACGAGCGATTTGTCTGCTGCATAAATCAGTTTGCTTTGGAGCCATCCTTCCTGAGCTAAGACAAAAATGTGTGAGCCGGAGGCTAAAAAACTGTGAGCTAGCTCACACTAACTCAGCTTCGAGGGAACACTGGTTGGGGGAGGTGTGAGAGGGCATCAGCAAGAAAATTGGATTTCCCCAGAAGGGGCTTGAGTGTGAACTGAGACTTAGAGAAGAATTCCGCCCATCACAACTGTTTAGCATTGAGGCGTCGGGGGGGGTGGGGTGCATAATGCCTCCAGGTTCTTATGGTCAGTCCAGACCTCAAAGGGTAATCTGGCCGCCTCTAACCAATGTATCCAGGTGGTAAGGGCCAGCTTGATGGCAGCAGCTTCCTTGTCCCAAACAGCCCAATTTCTCTCTGTCTCAGAGAACTTTTTTGACACATAGGCAAGGGGGTGCAGGTTCCCGTCCTCCTCACATTGCAAGATTGCCCCCCCATCGCCACATCCAAGGCATCCACTTGTACTACAAAGGGTTTATTTTTGTCCGGGTGGCTCAAAATTGGCTCAGAGGTTAACAAAGCCTTCAATTGGTCAAAAGCCTGTTGGCACTCTGGGGTCCATAATAACTTACAGCCTGGTTTTTTTACCCTCTGGCCCCTTCCCCGTTGTTTTCAGCAGGTCTGTGAGGGGCAGGGCTTCCTGGGTGAAATTTGGGATGAAAGGTCAATAAAAATTGGCGAACCTAAGGAATGCTTGGAGTTGCCTCCTTGTTTGAAGGGGGCCCCACCCGAATACATCTTTGATTTTATGGGGGTCCATGCCCAGTCCCTTCCCAGAAATCCGGTAGCCCAGAAAGTCCATTTCTTCCCTGTGGAACTTGCACTTGGACAGTTTTACTGCACCACTTAGACCTCAGCTGGAATATCTTTTCCCCAACATGTGAAAGACATTAAAAATTGGGAAGATTCTGGCCAAAGCATCAAGAAGGTTAAAAAATTGATGTGGTGGCTCATTTTTTGCTTTGAAGACTATCATTGGTGATCATTTTATGGGATGTTTTCTTTAGGGTGATAATCTTGTGCTGAAGCAGTTGTGCTTGGTGAAGAAGAGTAGGTTTTTATCCCTGCTTTTCTCTGCCCTAAGGAGTCTCAAACTGGCTTCCAGTCACCTTTCCCTTCCTCTCCCCACAACAGTCACCTTGTGAGGCAGGTGGGTCTGAGGGAGCTCTTGGAGAACTGTGACTGGCCCAAGGTCACCCAGCAGGCTTCATGTGAAGAAGGAGTGAGGAATCAAACCTGTTTCTCTAGATTAGAGACTACTATTCTTAACCACTATACCATGCTTGCTGGTGGCAGTGTATGCAAGTCTGAAATTACAATACAGAGTAAATCTAGATTTGTTTAAGGGCAGAAGGGTCCCTTCTTCCCAGCCATATGGATGATCAGGAATGTAAGCTCTTACAAATCAGATTACTGTTTGGTATGCATGTGGGGGCAGGGATAGAGTCCAGATCCCCGATCTGCATGAACATATCTGGATGCTGGAGTATCCCTTCATTCTTTGCTACTGCTTTTAGAGTATTTCAACGAAGAAGAGGAGATTGGATTTATATCCCACCCTTCACTACCCAAAGGAGTCTCAGAGCAGTTTACAATCTCCTTTACCTTCCCCTCCCCACAACAGACACCCTGTGAGGTAGGTGGGGCTGAGAGAGCTCTTTCAAGGACTGCTCTTGCAGAGAACAGCTCTGAAAGAACTTGTGACTGACCCAAGGTCACACCAGCAGCTGCATGTGGAAGAATGGGGAATCAAATCCGGTTCTCCCAGATTAGAGTCCGCGCTCCTAACCCCTACATCAAACTGCACACGCAAGTGGAAATCCGTTTCCCTTTATACATCATTCCTTTCTGGAATGAAGTTTGTAGTTTTCAGTTCTTGCTGTGGTCTGTGCCCACCAGATGCTTGACAAACACACTGCTGCTGTTTCAGAAGACCCATTTTACAGCCAGGGTAATATGCAGCGATGGGTGGGCTAGGACTAGGCAGACCCAGGTCAAAAATGGAAGCTCACTGGGTGACCTTGGGCCCGCCACTCTTCTTCAGCCCAATGCAGCTCTCAGGGTTGTTGTGCAGACAAAATGGAAGGGAGCCCTGCATGCTTCCCTGAGCTCCCTGGAGGAAGGGCGGAATGAAAACAGATTAATCATAGATTAGCAAAGTGAACTGTTCCCATGTGGATAGCTACTGCTCCGGGGTACTGAAAGCAGAGTTGCCGGCTCTGGGTTGGGAGATTCCGGGGGTGGGGCCTGGGGAGGGCAGGGTTTGGGGGAGGGGAGGGACCTCAGCCACACAGCCCACCCTCCAAGGCAGCCATTTCCTCCAGGGGAACCAATCTCTGGCTGTCTGGAGATCAGTTGTCATTCCAGGAGCCCTCCAGACCCCATCTCACATTTGGCAGCCCTAAACGAAAGGCTTACCTCACGGTAAGTCGGTGGGGGTGGGGGATTAGGTGATGGGTAGAACAGGGCAGGGGGGTACGGGTGCTCAGTGTGTACACCAAATAATATTTCTAGGAGGGAGTGAGGTATGGAATACCAGACAGGTTTTGAGGAAAACATGAAACTTTGTACTGCACAATAAACCCTTCTTTATGCAAGAAAATGTTACAGACTTCGATGTAGCTCTTGAAATACCAGCTTCACGGCGAAATAACGAAATGCTTCACTTTTGCATTTCAGAGCTGAAGAAAGACCCATGAAGAAAAGGAAAATGCAAAGCTGTAGCTTTCAAAAAAAGAAACTGAAGCTAATGGAAGCGATGCTAGAGGAACAAAAGAAGCTGAGCAGAGCTATGGAAGAAACCTGCCGGGAAGTACGGAGGATTCTGGACCAGCAAAACATCATCCAGGTTCAGAGTCTGCAGTTGCAAGAACGAATGATGAACCTTTTGGAAAAAATGATCTCCAAAGCAAATGTTTAGTCTATTTTGTGACCATCCCGAAAGTACAATATTAATCTATTTTAGAGAAATTGCGTATTAGATAGGATTGCGTCTTTCTCAGATTTTTCCGGGCAAATTAAAATTGTTGTGTAAATATGCTTAAATGAAGAGTCTAATCAATGTAGGATATGAGCCATCTAGACATCTGGGGGTCTTTTCAGTGAAAGGAAATCTGGACCTGCCTTGTGAATTTATTTTTTGAAGAGGTAGAAACTGAAGACTGAGGGCAGGCAAATTATTACAAGCCTTAGAGGGAGAAATGTTTTAAGCTGATGATTTTGTACAGGCCTTAACCTACGGGAAAAAAAATTTCACCCTAATCCATGGACTTCCAAAAAAAGGTCAAACTAGCTCTCACCTTTAACAAAAAATATCCAATTAATAGCAAACTTTTTTAAAAAATGGAATGAAGCAGAATATGATTAATGCAACCCCCCCCCCCAAAAAAAAAAACCCTCGGAAGGATCTGCTCTGAACAGTTCACTGCCCTTGGTCTCGAAAGCAAATATGTCAGGTAACCCCTAATTTTCCTTTCTTAGTTTACAGAGTGAAGCAGAACAAAACAATGTCATAGAATCATACAGTTGGAGGGGGCCCTACAGACCATCTAGTCCAACCCCCTGCCCAATGCAGGACCAGCCTTAAAGCATCTCTGACAGATATTCGTCCAGCCTCTTCTTGCAAGCTGCCAGTGAAGGGGAGCTGACCACCTCCCCAGGCAGCTGATTCCACCCTGAACCACTCTGACTGTGAAAAAGTGTTCCCTAATATCCAGCTGATACCTTTCTGTGCGTAATTTAAACCTGTTGCTTCTGGTACTATCCTCTGCTGCCAACTGGAACAGCTCCAAATGACAGCCTTTCAAATATTTAAAGAGGGCAATCATGTCCCCCCTCAATCTCCTCTTCTCCAAACTAAACATTCCCATGGCCCTCAGTCCCTAGGCTGGACTAAATGGACATGGCTTAAAGGTACCCTCCTCCTTTCAGCAACACCCAAGATGCCGTCCTGTCAGTCACGTCACAGTGTTCAGTATACGTGTGGACAGAGGACAACCTGAAACTGGCCACCTTCTGCCACGGAAGCAGAAGGCAGAAATAGGCATTGGATGGGCATTGATCTTTCCCAGTATTTCCAGCATTATGTGGTCCATTTTGTATCTGCTGTTTCAGCCATATGGGCAGGAGAGGGCCAGTCCTATCTGAGTACTCCTGGTTTAGATCTGTAGGAACACCCTAGTTCTCTGAATGAGCACGGTCTTGACTCAGCGAGAGTAGCAGTCCCTAAGTCATGTGCAAAATAGAACATTGCCTTTAGGAGGCAACAGACTTGAGAAAAACAGGGACAGTTACCAGTCTTGTGCTGTGGAGGAAGGAGGCTGGCACAAAATAAGGGATGCACAGAACAACTTTAATAACTTTCAAGAGCGATCACACTTGGTGTCAGGAGAAGCACAAGAGCGATCTCACATGAGAGGGGGAAGACACTGATGGCAAACAAAAATAAGTGACATGAATCCAGTGAACTGGAATCCTTAAGTTGGACAGAAACCAGGGACACAAAAGGGTTACCAACCATTTCCAGTTTAAAGAGCATGAAATATACCTGCAGCCAATCCAATTATTTAATTTAGTAAAACAATATCTTTTAGTGGGATTTCTTCAGCTGCATGAACCCTAGAGATGTTGCCAGGGCCACCCCTGCCCATCTGTGCAAAAAGGAGTCGTGCCTCTGGGCCTCTTTCAGGCCTGGCTCCATGGGAAAGCCACTCACCACTCTGCCTCTCTACCGCGCTGAAGGCGGAGCTGCCAAGAGTCATCAGTGCCCCCTGCCAGGCCAGGAAGGAGAATCACAGCTTTCCAGACTCACCTGTGCAAAGTGGAAAAATTCAGGGTAGTGTGTGAACCCTTTGAGTTCCCAGTCTTCCCTAGCAAGTGGAAGGGGTAGGGAGAGGGGAAGGGAAACCAACCCACAGACCACATAGACAACATCTTCGGCGAGGAGCTACTGCTGCGGGACATGCTGGGGCCTTTCCTTCCCAGAAAGGAAGGGAAGCCTGAGGGGCGAGCCACTTCTCCAAGCCGCTGGAGGCTTCTCTGCTGGCTGGAACCGTGGTCGTCAAGAGCCCTACCATGTTCTGGACAGGCAGGGCTGGCAACATGACTAGTCATAATGACATGGCTCCTGCCTCCTCCACAGCTCCTTGCGCACTGTCCTGGAATAGATACACGTCCCACCTACATGGATTGAGTGTACTGCGTGTTTACATAACATATCTGCTGTGCACCTTCCATCATGTTCCCCATTCAGGAGAGCCACTACCAATCTTGTGTGGCTATTCCTGGACCCCTTTGCTACCAACTGTGTGACTACTGTTATGAATATCAGATCACCATGAGTACTAGATATGCATGCCAAAGGACAGTTCCTGTCACACAAAAATAGTGCTTGCTTTTATTATTAGCTATAAAAGAGTGGACAGAGCAAGAACCTTTAAATACCCTGCTTTTGTGTAACATAGGGTCAGGTCACACGGACATTTAGTGCGGGCTTCGCTGCTGATCCCTCGCACTTTACAGTTTCCTGTTCATATTGGCAAACCCGCCTCCCGCACCGAAGCGGGCTGAGTCCCGCGGTTTCCGCTCTTTTTATCCGCGTTTCCTGACACCCGTTGAAACAGGTGTTTTCCCGATATCTCGCGCTTTGTATCCACGGTTTTGGTATCTGGACAGCAATCCGCCGTGACCGCGCTACCCCCCATTTTTTGTGTGTTTCCGGTTTAAGTTATGCGCATGTGCAAACAGGCACTAGCTTTTATTTTGGTCTTTTTTAGTTTGTATGTACGCCCAAGCGCATGGGAAGACAAGCGCATGGGCAGGTTGTTTAAAAAAAACCAAACAAACCCAGCGCCGCCACGGGGACGGCGCGCTGTGTGATCAGTACTTCACGCGAGTGAAGCGGAAGACAGAGGGACCGTCTGACCACCTCCAAGCAATATAAAATGTCGCAGATAAAAGAACTGCGGGAAAATTAGTGCGGTAAGAGGTCCGTGTGACCGCAGCCATAATCATAAGCAGACCTTGAAACTGGGAGAACGTGCTCTGTCCTCCTGTCTCTTCTCCCACCTGACATCTTACAAGGCAATGGTTTCTGGAAGCGCCCGTGGAAAACATTCCTGAACTACCCACTGGAGCAGCAGCTGCTAAAGGAGTGTTGGCCACACTGCCCTGAGGAAACCAGTGGGATTCAGTTCCTTCTGCCTGCCCTGCCTTCTGTGGAGTCTGGCAGTAGTTTACAGTTATTACGTAGCTTTGGTCTGACAATTACGAAGGTTCTGCTAGAGACATGCAGAGAAGGCTGAAGGGGATCACAGAGTAACTCCTGTGTCAAAGTAAGTGTGAGTCTCCCTTTCATGTTTCTACTTAGCAGACCCACCCAAACCTTGTAAATTGGGACTGAGGCACTGGGGGATAGTTAACTCTTTCCTCCATGCCACTTTCCTGATCTATCACTTGACCATCAATGTCTATTCATTCTGCAGATCTGTGTATTGTTACACAGGAGGCTTTTTGCATAAACTACTTCCCCATATTGTCTGGGATTGGATAGACAGTCTTATTGGGGCTCCCTGCTTTTGTCCATGGGGTCACGAAGAGTCGTACTCGACTGTGCGACTGAACAACAACAACAACACTTTGTTGATATTGTGGGCTATGTGAGGTTTGCTTTGTGCTTTGGAGAGATTGTTGGCACTCGTTTGTAGATCTCTGTCTTTTTTTTGGGGGGGATGTCTTAGCAGAAGCTGAGTCAGCACCCAAGTATTGGGATTTATGGAAGCTGCCTTAGTGGCCCTTCCTGCCCTCTCCTTTTAATCCATGTTCACCACCGTGTCCTCCAAGCAATTCTGCACTAGAATCGAATCCAACCTTCTTTTTAATCCAGATTTTTCAGCCAGCTCTGGTGCCTTTGCTCCTGCAGCAGCTTCTGTGAAAGCAACAAGTTAGCAGAAAGGAGATCCATAACAGGGAATGGCTGGGCCGGGCAACTGCTGGCCTCGTGCAGCGGGGCGTCCAGCACCCACAGCCAAGTGGGGCAGTGACCGGAGGAAGCAGGAAACGAAGCGCCTGCCTTTCTGCTGGCACGGGCAGAGCCACAGCCCAGCTGCCTCACAACATATTGTTGATCTATTTGTAAAACGTTTGTGCCCCCTCTCCAGGGAACTTGCCCTAGACCAAGATATAATATCAAATGGGAAGCCAAGATTGACAGGAGAAGAAGAGGGGGGAAGTGATTCTACCGTAGGGAAAGGAGAGCAGATCAGATTTTTGTTAATGCATAACCGCATCAGAAGGATTCATGTGGACTTCAGACCTGTGACTTGACTAACTAGGATGCAGATCAAGTGTATAGTCACTCTAAATACCACCCCTTCCCGCAAATTAGTATAGAGTAGCAGTTTTAGGGAAGGGTGATTTAGATCAGGACAATGAAATCGGAAAAGGGAGAAGCCCCTCCCCCCAGCTTCAGAGCAGGTTGCCAGGGGGTTGCTGAGTACAAACAACCTCACAATATATTCTATTCACAGATCTCCTGTCTTCTTTAACCACTATTTCCTCTAAGCAACTAATTGTCTGTGCACTCCAGAGATGGTTAGCATCTGAAGGGAAGGAGAAGGTGAGCTACAATAAGAAATGTTCTTTGTCTGGCTATTCCCAACACTTTAAGCCGGGCTCGTGCATTGCTGCTTTTCCTACGAGGAGCCATAATGTGCTGCCAGTCGACTCAGAAATCTTTGCTCTGCTCTCCAGCTTCAGCAGGGGCCACTAACTGCTCTCCAGTTTTTGCCTTTTACTCAACATTCCATGTTCTTCCTGGGCTAGGTGTGGGGTTGTCAACTAGTCACAAATTGGCAAGAGGAATCTCGAGGGCTTAACACTGTGGGTTAGACAGTACCCAGTCTACCCTTCAGAGAAAACAGAACACGATCTGGAGCCTAAGGGCAGGGTAGTTGCTGTGGTCTGTGCATGTAGAGTTTAGCGTGAACATTTGTACCAGGCACACAATTGC